ATGACGTTGGAATGATACAAATTCTTGTGGAATGAAATGCAGGTGCTTTGAGGGGATTAAAAATTTGAATGGTCTTCAAATCAAGTTGTTCGACGATCGTCCAGTACATATGACACTGAAGCATCCGAATCTTGGTCTGTCGCGTGCAGAACTGTTTTCTGCGTACGAAAATATGCTACAGGACGCACTAACGAAAACAAAAGCATATGCATACTACTTGACTCATGAAATTTTGGAATACAATCGAATTAGCCGTTTGTATCGTGTATTGTTAACTTTATTTGATCCATGACGGGATGGTCTGATGACTAAAATACATTCGTGGAAGATCCAAAGAAGAAGATTCGCTGTAATGAGCAGAGAGAAGGCGCACTTTTTTTCTGAATCGTATGGTAAATAAATTGCTTTTCACGTTAAAGTTTGTACGCGATCGTTATGCGTTGCGAATGGATCCACAGGTTATGTGGTACGGGACTGTTGGATAAGATACGCTGTACGGTGTGTTTCTAATTTATGGTCGTCGTATATTGCACGTAGTGGAATCGAATGGTTTATCCTAGCTCGACGGATGGTCACGCCTTGAAAGTTACAACGAAGCGTGTAACTTATTATGTGTACTATATCTCAGGAACAAAGATACAACTGAAGAAGGGGTCGTTAGCTGTTGCATTGTGCGACCCGAGTATTGAGCCGATTGGGGATGTAGCGCCATGGAACTTTACTCTGGGTAAGAGTGCTATGGCTTTTTCGGATGCGTTATTGGACGTGACTAGCACCGACGAAGACGTCAAGAGCAAGATTCTTGACTGTTATGGTAGCGATAGACTCATTGGTGTGCGTCCGGATGATATCATTCCAGATGATATCGTTTGAATGAAGAAGCGTGCTGCGTACCGTAGTTACTTGATCTCACGTGCATTAATCAGCTTCAAGCCTGATGATGGATTTGATCATAAGAACTATGGTATCACTGGTGAACACGTAACCGTGTTTGCGGACGTTGCATTGTTTTTTTAAATTATTGAGCCAAAAATGCAGCCATTTACTGTCAAAATCACAGTGGGACCGATGGGGACGTAGCTTGGAATGTTATTACAATCTTACACCATGACCATGGAACAAATGTCCAAATTGTTGGTATTTGCGACGGAATGGGGTAGTCGAAGATCCCTAAGGTTTAGACATGCAAGTGTT